GTGCTTGATGCATGGCTGAAAAAAAAAAAAAAAAAAAAATAGATTCCCACATAAATTTTTCTTTCCCCAGACCTTGGGACCAAACGGGGATCCACTTGGCTCTCAGCAGAATTTAAGCATGCTCAGAACTGTGCTAAGTTGTGTTGAGTGACTTGCCTCCTAAGGCACCGCTTCCCTTCCTGCCAACTATACTGCCAACACTTCCTTTATGCCAGGCATAGTGGCATTGAAGAATAGCAGTGCTGGTCCCACCTACTCTGAGATTTCCTCGTATCAACATCTGTACAGGTAAGCCAGCTTTACAGACCCTTTGTACCTGCTGGAGTTGATATCCACTCCAAAATTTTATACGTAAAACAGAATTTAGATGCTCAGATGTGAAGTAGTGATTCTACTAGAACAAGTCAACCAGACCTGCATCTGCTTTATTTTGGTTTCTATATTGCATTCAGGGTAAAACAAACAAGTATGCAAACAATTCCTGCAGGCAACAATATGCAGTTCACAATATTTATAAGCCCTGTCCTGGACTGTGTCTGTTGCTATAGAGGTCAAAGGTCTTAGAGTTAGCTACTCCATTATGAAAAACTAATTGCAACTTTCTTGTAAACATAAGGAAGAGAAACAGATAAAGCTGACATTGCATTGGGAAAATTATAAGAATCTTAAGGACTTTTGATACACCCTTAGAGTCAGTCATTAGGATATGATCTGTTACAGTTACCCCAAGCACTTTTACTTAAGTTATCTACAGACTTGTATATTGTTAGTATTTGTGTTGGCAGCTGAGAATTACCAAGAGTTGACTGAATGGATAATACTTTCTGATGGATAATTGAGGGGAGAACACTGTTATTGACCTAACAAATTAAACTAAATATGTCATTCTAAGTAGCACTATGTAGGCAGATGCTGTGTGCATCTGTTTTCAGTTTTTTGGGGGGCAAATTTAGCGTAGGAATGAAACCAAATATCCCCAAGTCCAAGTGTTCAGTGATGGTAGCATCCCCTCCATTCCCCTGGCAAGAGAAAAGGAGGGATTGGGAGTGGACTTAATGGCTACTCTTCACACCTATTGCTACCCCCTAAAAAGTGTTTCTTGGTGTATTCTCAGCCTCCCTGAGTCAAACTTTCTCTCCTGGAGCCCTTGAAATTCCCTGGGAAGCTGTTCCTCGGCTTGGGGATGCAGACCCGAAGAAAAGCCATGTTAAAAATTTCAGAGAGGAATGAAAGAGCCTCAATCACAGTACCTTTATGAAGATTTTCCAAAGGCTCCAAGACTCCCCTCCGGAAGGAGGCCATGGGGTCTTGAACACAGGACCTCAAGCTGAGCATACTCTGTAGATGTGGCTCCCGCAGCAGCTGTTCTCTGTATGCAACGAACTGTGGTGAGCGGCAGAGCAGCGCTGCCACATTGTGTACAAACTCGGGCACGAGACAAGTATAGGCATTGTCAGCCTGGCAGTAGTGATAAGCAACAACCTGCCAAAAGGAAGAGAACACAAACATATCCACATCAGACCCTGGGTGGGCAGGTCTGAAAGCAGCATTTTTCAATGCAATTTTCATTTATTCCAGCAGGCAAGGTCTTTAAAAGGGACCTTGTGTTAACTACTTCTGACATGATCCAGATGAATTGGCTGGTAAAAAAGCAGGTACTGATCCTCAAAACCTATTGGATCTGCCACTTGAGAAACAAGTGATATTAAACAGCAGCAATTCAAAGATGGACAGTGACAATAACTAACTGATCTGTCTGTGTACTGCATGATTGACTTATGCCCCAAGCTCCATTTCAGAGCTCCACCTCAGTAATAAGTTGTGACAGCTTTTTAAACTCACATTTTATTTAGCGCTTTCAGAATGTCAGGCTAGGTAGAGAGGCTTACGACAGTACTTTGAAGAGAATACCTTAAAGCAGGGGGTTTCAACCTTTTTTTTAACAAGTGTACCCCTTCTGCCTCGAAGTTTCAGCTCACGTACCCCTTTATATTTTTCTCGTTTTTAAGGGATGGCAGAGGGGGGTAGATTGAGGTCCCTGTGGTGAGGGAGGGAGGGAATGGGGCACAGACACGCACAGATGCAAACAGACACAGACAGTTGCAGACAGACAGACAGACACACAAATTCCGCCCCCCAGTGTCTGGGTGGGGTGGGGTGGGGTGGGGCCAGATCCAGACTGGCGGG